CAGTGGAGAACTTTCAGAGGGAAAATTAGCAGGTGATAACTGATAACTGACATCCATCAAACATGGCACGTGGAATTAGAACAGTCTACCCCAGCGATCGAAATAAAGGGTTCAGTTCGAAATTCCAACCACCTGAAGAAGGCCGGAGCGTACAACGGCCGAAACGTTGTGACAAATATGGCGACAAAGATGAGGACAATAGTCCGACTAATGTAAATACTGTACATAATACCTCATCTCAGAAATATAGACATGCTTGTTTTATATTTCTGAGTTCAAATAACTTCTTACCACGAACCAATGCCCTGTGGAACAGACTCCCAAGAGGATGTTTCCCCGTTTACTGCAATCTTAACCTGTTCAAGTGTATAATCAACCATTATATTCCACTCCTATCAATATAAATAACTACCCTTAATGTAACCAGTCCCTAGAGTGTCCCCGATCCTTGTACAGGGTGTCCTTTTTTAATATATATATATATATATATATATATATATATATATATATATATATATATATATATATAATTTTAAGATATAGGGTATCTGTAACGAAAACAAAATGAAAAGAAGGCAGGGGCAAAAAAAGTATTCTTCGCCGACGTCTCATCCTCTAAAGGGACATTTGCCTTGATAATGTCACTGGTAGGACGAAACAAGCCGGATGGGAATAGTTTTTTCACTTGTCTTTTATTCATATATATATATATATATATATATATATATATATATATATATACACAAATTTTTTTTAACATGTATATGTGTGGAGTGTTTGTGTATATATATATATATATATACACACAAACACACACACATACACACACACACACACACACACACATATATATATATATATATATATATATATATATATATATATATATAATTTTAAAAAAAAAGGCCTAAAAACATCCGAGTAAAAAAAATCGCTGTAATTTCTAAAAAAAAAAAAAAATAATCGAGTAAATAAGAAAAACGTAAATTTCTCAATGCGCTAAGTAGACCAAAGTAAATCCTAATTACTGGTACAATTAAAGCACTTATATATATATATATATATATATATATATATATATATATATATATATACACGAGGTCTGATCAATACGTCTCGGATCTGGTTCTACAAGAAGAAAAACTAAAACACATATCAGTTCGCCATTTAATCTCTTTCAAAGAAGTCCCGTTGAAAAAGCCACACACCGTATCCAACGTCGTTTCCGTTGATGGACGCCTTCATGAAACTCCGTCTTTACTGAACAGCAGTCAGCTCCCTCAACGCATTCTCTTGGATTTCCTCGAGGTCTCGAAATCTTGTTCCCTTCAAGTGGGATTTGATTTTGGAAGAAACAGGAAAAAAGTAGCCTGGTATCAACGAGCACACCACTATATATATATATATATATATATATATATATATATATATATATATTTTTACAATACATATATATATATATATATATATATATATATATATATATATATATATATATATATGAGACAAAAATGACACATGTACTTGTAATAAGAAAGAGGCTGCTGAAATTACATAATAAGAAAAGAAGGCCTGGAAAACTTGACACTCAAGGAATATTCTGAATCCAAGAAAGGCGGAGGGAAACGACGTGTGATTTACTCAACGTGTTTGTAAATGGATATTAAAAAAGGGGTTGTATACAAGCATTCCTTAGAGCTCCGAAGGATATGAACTTGTGGAGACCCATGACCACCCACCTACACTTTTCTGGTTAATCTCTGGATTTAAACAGGTGGACGTAATTGCACTCTGCACTTTCCTACATAATTAGAAAGTGTTTTTTTTATGTCGTCCTCTCTGCGTAGGTTTTTTCTTTTTAAGTATTTCACCCCACGGGTGTCACTAGGACGCAAGGGTTACAGAGCGTGGGAGCAAGTGTATAAAGAGGCGTGATAGAGATAAAAAGAAGGAGGGGGAATAGATCAAGGCATCTGGAGATGTCGATTGAGATTGCATTTGAATAGCTGAAGATTATAGTTTTCAGGGAAGCAAGTAAGAGGAATGGAGTTTCACTGTCGGGAGGTGCGAGACATGAAGCTATTCGAGAAGAGACGGCTACATTTAACCGTTTCGACAGTGAAAGAGTGGGACCGTGATGCCAGCCTAGTAGCACGCTTAAATTCATGCAGTCTGGGAACCAGCGAAAGTAGCTCATCGGAGCAGTTACCATGAAAGTATTTGCAGAAAAGACAGAGGGAGGCAACGGCACGTCTGTGAGAGAGCCACTGTAAACAAGATGACAGATCAGGGCCAATTGCATTGAATATCCGTCTCTGGATTTTGTCGAGGACCTTAAGACGAACAGCTGGGGCTCCAGACCATATATGGCAGTAGTATTCCATGCAAGGCGAATGGCTGATTTATAGATTTGAAGGACACAGTGTACCAACTTTCCTTGCGATAGATGAAGCGATTGATTTAATGTATTTGCTCCATCTCAGGTCAGCGGATAGTGTGAAACTAAGCAGTCGCAGAGAGTTTTTCTCATAGAGTTGAGCACCAGAGATTCTAATGAAAAGCAAGGGGGGGTTCTATGTGGTGGATAAAAAAGATTTTTTTGAGGCATTAAAGTTAACCAGACATTTTTTTGCCCCAGTCAACAACAGATTGGAGGTCCTTTTCGTAACCAACAGTCAGGTTAGTTTTGTCAGCAATGGCCGATTTGTTTTTGAGGCAGGAGTAAATAGTATTGTCGTCTGCATAGATGCCTACTTGGGAACTGATAGGAGGATTGATATTACATAGCATTTCCGCATTCTTTTATTTATTTCTAACGAAGGTCCCCTGCTTCTAAATATCTTGCTTGTTTAAATTCATGCAGTTTTGGAACTAGCAAAAATAGCTCATCGGAGCAGTTACCATGAAAGTATTTGTAGAAAAGACAGAGGCAAGCGACGGTACGTCTGTGAGAGATGCCAGATTAGAGGGCCATCACATTGCATATCTGTCTCTGGATTTTGTCGATAACTTTAATGCTAACAGCGTGGGGTCCAGACCATATATGGCAGCATTATTCCATGCAAGGGTGAATGGTTGATTTATAGATTTGAAGGATGGACTCGGCCGAGAAAAACTTTCTGGCGCGACACAGAGGACCAACTTTCCTTGCGGTAAATGAAGCTATTGATTCAATGTACCTGCTCCATCTCAGGTCAGCAGACAGTGTGAGACCAAGCAAACGCAGAGAGGTGCTTTCGTGGAACTGAATTTCCCCATGACACCAGTTTTATTTTCTTTCTTTTTATGTACGGTGTCCTTTCGGGACGTAGGCGATCATGCTCCTCCCCTTGCTCCTATCCCTTGTAGCTCTCAATAAGTTTCGTCCCTCTGCACCCTCTTCCAGACCACGTTCCGTCATCCACCCGCTCAAGCCCGCCAGTTATGCCATGCGTTGCTTTCCCATATATCTCTTTCCCTCTATTCGACCTGTGAGTATCAGATTCTCTAAGCCCTCTTTTCTTATCACGTGTCCCAGAAATTTCAGCTGCGTTTTCCTGATGTTATTTATAAGCTTCCTCCTTGCTTCTATCCTCTCCAATATCGTTGCTCCCGCAGAGACAAGATGCCAGACCAGGGCCAATCACATTGCACAGCTGTGTCTGAATTTTAGCGAGAACCTTAAGGCGAAAAACGTGGGATCCAGATCGTATACGGCAGCAGTGTTCCAAGGTCGAATGAATGATTTATAGTTGGATAATTCTCTCGATTTGTATCCATTGTACGACTGGAACTGGGGTGACGTTAATGAGACACGCCAACGGCCTCATAATACCAAAGCTCTTGATGAAAGCCGGCATTGAGAACTTGTTTGCCGTTTAATTATAAACAAGCTAGTTTATAATTAAACCACAAACATTTTTTCTCATTTCTTAGAACTCAAAGAATTTTATCTTATTATTATGAAAGTTTACAAAATATAAGGGGATGTATTTCGAATCTTGTTAAGGTACATTATCTTTTAAAAGACTCTCAAATGTCCAGGCAGTTAGACACTAAATTACAATGTTTAAAAAACTGGGACTGCTACTCCAAAACGTATATCAACTAAATATAAGGTGTATGGTAATAATATCTTTGTTAATGCAATTAATTCACTGGTGAAAATTAAACACTTTGACAGATGTTAATACATGAAAATTTAGTTAACCGGTTAAAAATTTATATAAAGATCAATCTTATATATTGAGGACAATAGATAGATAGATAGATAGATAGATAGATAGATAGATAGATAGATACGGATGACAGTGGGGTATATAGATAGAGATACATACTTGCATAGCTAAGAATGATAGAGATAGATAACGAACAAACTGACATATATAGAGAGATTCATACATACATAGTTAAGATAGATAGATATAGATAGATAGATAGATAGATAGATAGATAGATAGATAGATAGATAGATAGATAATGACAATGAGGTAAGATAAAGAAATATATATATATATATATATATATATATATATATATATATATATATATATATATATATATATACATACATATATATATACAAAGATAGATAGATAGATAGATAGATAGATATATAAGAATGAAAGAGAGAGAGAGAAAGAGAGATGCGTGTGTTCATATATAATTAAGATAGATAGATGCATAATGACAATGAGGTTAGATGAAGATATATATAGAGATTGAGAATGAATGTTCATGCTCCAATGCTATATTGTGGAGATATTGTTCATGTATTTGATGGGAATCATAAATAAGCCATGTGCTTCGGCTTTTGTGATGGATAGGTGGAACGATTTTAGATTGACATGTCGGAGTAAATAATTATTGTAAGGAATGTGCTCAAAGGGGAGATAACTGCGTTTAGTGAGAGAAAAAGAAGCTAAGAAACTGTGCAAGCAGACTTTACGGAAGGAAGGTAGGGAATGGATTGGCTTCAAGTAAGAAGAAAATGTGTCGAGACGTTAAAGCGGTCAAATAAATTACAGAAAAAAAGACGAAAAGTTAAAATTGTCAAAATGACAGAGTGAAGATAGAAAGAAAGACAGAAAGAAAGACCGTTGAATAGCTTGAAAGAAAGAAAGAAACAAGCAAACAAATAAAAAGAAAGAAAGAAAGAAAGAAAGAAAGAAAGAAAGAAAGAAAGAAAGAAAGACGGGGTAATTGAATAGCAGGGAAGAAAGAAACACAAAACGCCGATGAAAAGCATATAAGAAAGATTGAAAGAAATAAAGAACCATTGAATAGCTGGAAAGAAAGAAAGAAAGAAAGAAAGAAAGAAAGAAAGAAAGAAAGAAAGAATCAAACAAAGAAACACAAAACGCCGATGAAAAGCATATGAGAAAGAAAGAAAGAACAATTGAATAGCTGGAAAGAAAGAAAGAAAGAAAGAAAGAAAAAAGAAAGAAAGAAAGAAAGAAAGAAATACACAAAACACCGATGAAAAGCATATAAGAAAAATTGAAAGAAATAAAGAACCATTGAATAGCTGGAAAGAAAGAAAGAAAGAAAGAAAGAAAGAAAGAAAGAATGAAAGAAAGAAAGAAAGAAAGAATCAAACAAAGAAACACAAAACGCCGATGAAAAGCATATGAGAAAGATTGAAAGAAAGAAAGAAAGAAAGAAAGAAAGAAAGAAAGAAAGAAAGAAGGAACCATTGAATAGCTGGAAAGAAAGAAAAGAAAGAAAGAAAGAAAGAAAGAAAGAAAGAAAGAAAGAAAGAAAGAAACACACAAAACACCGATGAAAAGCATATAAGAAAGATTGAAAGAAATAAAGAACCATTGAATAGCTGGAAAGAAAGAAAGAAATAATGAAAGAAAGAAAGAAAGAAAGAATCAAACAAAGAAACACAAAACGCCGATGAAAAGCATATGAGAAAGATTGAAAAAAGAAAGAAAGAAAAAAAAGAAAGAAAGAAAGAAAGAAAGAAAAACACAAAACACCGATGAAAAAGCATATAAGAAAGATTGAAAGAAATAAAGAACAATTGAATAGCTGGAAAGAAAGAAAGAAAGAAAGAAAGAAAGAAAGAAAGAAAGAAAGAAAGAATCAAACAAAAAGAAACACAAAACGCCGATGAAAAGCATATGAGAGAAAGAAAGAAAAAGAAAGAAAGAAAGAAAGAAAAAAGAAAGAAAGAAAGAAAGAAAGAAAGAATGGAATTGAATAGCTGGAAAGAAAGAAAGGAAAGAAAGAAAGAAAGAAAGAAAGAAAGAAAGAAAGAAAGAAAGAACGAAAGATAGAAAGAAAGAAATAAAGAACCATTGAATAGCTGGAAAGAAAGAAAGAAAGAAAGAAAGAAAGAAAGAAAGAAAGAAAGAAAGAAAGAAAGAAAGAAAGACACAAAACACCGATGAAAAGCATATAAGAAAAATTGAAAGAAAAAAAATAGAATACTTAGCAGCAGGGTAAAAAGAAAAAAGATGAAATAAAATGGGAAATATAACATCCGGGCGTAGAACACAATTCATTATAAATGACAGACAGACAGATAGATAGATAGATAGATAGATAGATAGGTGAGAAATATTAAAATAATGTTCTCAAGAAAGGAATTACACTCCTTAAAAAGAAAGATATACACAAACAAACAATGTAGCACCTTAAAAAAATGAATATCTGAAAAAACTGTCTCGTAATATATGAAATAAAGAACACGTGTGAGTGAAACATAAAAAAGAACCAAAAATTAAATTAAAATCGAACTGAAAGGAAGAGAAATCCAAAAAAATAATCCAATAGTCAGGATTTCTTTTTTTTCTTTTACCTTGTTTATGAAACATAAATTATCTTTCTCTGAATTCTTTCAAAGAAACTGGAAATAAATCATGCCCAAATATTGAGAAGTTAATTTTTATTAAGCGCATCCATATTTTATGCACGATACACACAGACAAACAAACACACACATATACATGCACGTATATAAAGAGATAAAGAAACATAGAGAGCTAAATAGATAGCTATATATATATATATATATATATATATCTACTAGACCATCGATATTATATATATGTGCACGTGAGTGTGACAGAATATACATATGTATATTTGAAACAAATATAATAATATTTGTAGATCTGTTGAATTGAATCGTGATTACGTTGTCAATGTAATAAATTATAACCATGAAATATTAGTTTGTGTCTATCATATAATATATATATATATATATATATATATATTACATACATATAGGTATGAGAAAGACGGAACTTAGATAGATAGACAGGCACATAAATGAATATATATAATCTACCATATATGTGTGCATATGTGTGCATATGTGTGTGTGTGTGTCTTAAACATTATGCATATATATATTTCAAACAATATATATATATATATGTACATATATATGCAATGGCGCAGGTACTCGTATCCGAGGATGCGATTCTACAAAGGCGGCAAGCAATTTCCCATTGCAGACGGCTGCTCAGACACAGTTTTGCATGTTCAACACTCACAGAGCCCACTTATGGTTCATACTGCAACTATGCTGAGCATACCTTAGTTACACTTTTATATATATATATATATATATATATATATATATATATATATATATATATATATATATATATATATATATATGTGTGTGTGTGTGTGTGTGTGTGTGTGTGTGTGTGTGCATATATATATATGTATTTTAGATAGATAGATAGATAGATAGATAGATAGATATGGAACAACACATGTTCAATTGACAGATATTGAACACACTGAGATAGATAAGAATGACAGATAGAGAAAGGGAGTAGATAGATAGATAGATAGATAGATAGATAGATAGATAGATAGATAGATAGATAGATAGATGCATATATACATACATATGAACAAATTGAGATCAACATATATAAGAACATATGTATGAGATAGATATGAACTAAACATTACACATCTACAGATAACACGCATTCACATTTACTTATTTGCAAATACACATGCTGCTTTTATATATATATATATATATATATATATATATATATATATATATATATATATATATATATATATATATATATATATGTCTGTGTGTGTGTGTGTGTGTCCACTTATCAAGCACAAAATCGGCTTAGATACCATGAAAATTCTTTTAACAACAAATATTCAATTTGATCTAGTTAATTCTATGGAAATGGAAAAACGGCAAATTGGGATTTCTCATATTTTGGCGCGCAAAATAGATTTGGTTAAAATTTTTCACTGGCACACGGAAGCATATTCAGTAATTTTCCCAAAAGATAAATTTTTCAATAAATTTTAAAAAAAAAATAAAGAGCTTTCTGGAAAACCTAATTTTTGATATTTTCTGGGATGGTGGTGTATCATTGGTTCAGTCAAAACTCGGCATATTACACGAACCAATTACGTTAAGATTTTCTTCTTCTTCTTCTTCTTCTTCTTCTTCTTCTTCTTTCTTTCTTTTTTTTTCTTTCTCTTCTTTTTCTTCTTCTTTGGGTGGTAGGGGTACGGGCGGTGATATTTGGCTCAAATAGTACAGACGTTGATTTCTAAAGCAGAAAGATTTCGAATTATGGGATGCTAAATCGAGTGAAAAGCTTGCAGCCATATCACGTGGAAGCATTGATTCTCTTTTTATCACCGAACTTAAGCAACGTTTAACCTAGTCAGTACCTAGATGGGTGACTGTTAAGAAATACTGTTGTTTGGTAGTGGAAGATTGCTTATTTTCCTCTCAGCTACATCTTTTCTACAGAGGCTACATCGCTATTTCCATGGAAAATATTCTAATGAATCATTTCCTTAGTTGAACCATTTCAAACATGTCTATCACAACTCAGTCACTATTTTCAAGGCAGAGTTTCCATCGTAGTTGATATATCAATAAAATAGCCAATCTTCTTTCTTTCTTTCTTTCTTTCTTTCTTTCTTTCTTTCTTTTTTTTCTTCTTCTTCTTCTTCTTCTTCTTCTTCTTATTATTATTATTATTATTATTATTATTTTTATTTTCTTTGGTTTCTGGCGTTTACACATTTCTTTCCGGGTCCCGCCCAGGGACCTTAGGTTAGAAATGGCATCATGACACTTTCCACTGACCAAAAAAAAAAAAAATTAAATAGATAAAGCCCTTCGTAAGGTGTGGGCTGTACTTGTCAGAACAATTTTTTGTATCTCCTTGAGGCATGGACTTCCAGGAATCCCTTCAATTAGTCTACTGCAATCTTTTCCAACCAGTCCTAGGGCTCCAACTACAACAGGGATTGTTGATGTTCCCATATGCCACATTTTCGAGATTTCTATTTCAAGGTCCTTGTTATTATTATTATTATTATTGTTATTATTATTAGTAGTAGTAGTAGTAAAGAAATGAAAGGAAGTTGCAGATGGTATTATTTTTGTTATTATAATTTTTTCTGAAGGGAACTGAAAGGAATGTCTTTGATATAATCTAAAAATACACCCGACAATGGATTTTCGACTAGGCCACAGAATTAGGATAACTCGAACCATTGTTACCTACGAGTGATCTGTGGCTAAGATCTAGCACCTGTTTGACCCGCCTGCTAGAGTTACGGTTTTGTGTAGTATGTAAGTAAGTGTGTGTCCGTGTCCGTGTGTCCGTGTCCGACCGTCCGTGTGTGTGTGTGTGTGTGTGTGTGTGTGTGTGTGTGTGTGTGTGTGTGTGTGTGTGTGTGTGTGTGTGTGTGTGTGTGTGTGTGTTAATGATCCATAGTGATTGTTATGCCGGTTAACTATCTAAGCAATCAATCAAGCTTCATCTGTGAAGCGATTGCCTAGATTTCACTTCCATGCCGGAGATGAGATATTACATAGTACCCGTTTTTTTTTTCTTTCTAACAGAATTATCTGAACTTTTAATACATTACTTATATTTGGGAAGACATTTTTTGGAAAGGATAATTTCCTAAAATGATATGCACATATTTGTTGTGGCCTTCATCCAGACGAGACAAACACTAATACATTAATAACATATTTGTGGCTTTGCAGGTAGTCTACGAACAAGTACCTGAGCCATACATGGAATCCCCCCACCACAAAAAATATCTCCGTTGATTAAACTTTACAATATGGTGTTCGGGCTTGTAGAGAAAAAGAAAACAAGAGATTTACACTCAGTGGTCTGATTTAAAATCCAATAGACACCAACACCTCTAATACATATATAGTTATATATATATATATTAGAATGGCAAGACCAATGCCTTTGTTTTTGTTGTTCATTGAAGACATTTGGGTTTAAGATCAAAAGATGAATATGAGACAATATTTCAGAAGTTCAGCTTTTATTTCCTATTTACATTTAAATGTGTTAGGCAACTTAGGACATACCACCGTTTGTATCGGATCGCCGCATTTTTAGGTGAGCAAATGAAAAGGAACAGATAGTCTTAAAGTCAATAACATTTAATATTTGGTTGCATAAAACATACTAGCAATAACTACATCAAGCTTACGACCCATTGACGTCGCTAAATTCTTGCATTCTTCATTTTTTATGCTTTTCCAGAATTTTAAGGTAGCCTTTTTCAGTTTGTGTTTGTTTTGGGGTTTTCTTCCTTCAGTTTCCTCTTCAAGAGATGAAATGCAAGCTATATTGGGTTATGGTTCGATGCCTGACTTGGCCAGTCTAAAACTCTTCACTTTTTCCCCTGATGAAGTCCTTAGTTGCTTTGCCAGTATGTTTGGGGTTGTTGTCCTGCTGCATGGTAAACTTCCACCCAATAAGTTTAGATACATTTCTCAGTAAATTGGCATACAACATGTTTCTGTAGACTTCTGAATTGAATCTGCTGCTAGCATCATGCATTACATCATCAATAAATATGAACGAGACTGTTCCGGAAGCAGCCATGAAAGCTCAAACCAAGTCACTGCCTCCATCATGCTTCACAGATAAGATTGTTTGCTGTGGATCATAAGCAGATCCTTTCTTTGGCCTTTCTATCACTTTCGTAGAAATTAATATGGGTCTCATCAATCCATAAAATATTCTTCCAGAACTTTTGTCGTTCACCTCTGCACTTCCTTGCAAATTCCAATATGGTCTTCCCATTCTTATCCCTGATGTTTGATTTGCATTTTGTGGTATGGCCTTTATATTTCTGCTCTCAGTCTTCTTTGAGCGATGTATTGTGAAACCTTCACCCCTGCACCCTGCAGGTTGTTGATGGTGTCATTGGCTGTTGGTCTGGGGTTTTCCTCACAACTCTAACAATGCGTAAACTGCTGTAGTTTTCCTTGCCCGACCTGTTCTGTGTCTGTTGGTCAGTACACCAATAAATTCTTCCTTTTTCAGGATATTCCAAACTGTTTTGTTCTCTATGCCAAATCTTTGTCCAATGGCTCTGATCGATTTTCCTTTTTTTTTTCTCAGTTACAAAATGGTTTACCTTTCTCCCATAGTCAACTCTTTCATCTTCATATGGGTTCATCCATTTTTGCAAGCATACAGTTTTTGCGGGTGAAACCTAAAACTAAAATCATGAGTTGTCATTCAGAGCTATTTAAGGTTTAAACAATCAATTTAAAGGCAACACCTGGGTAACAAGAAACACATGTCAGTCACGTGTTGCAATAGTTTTGGTCACTTGAAAAATGGGTGTGCTTAAACAAAAAGTGGTATGCCCTAAGTATTTAGACACATCTAAATGTAAATATCAGGAAGTATAATCTGAAATTCTGAACATAGGACAGCCTGCGCGGACCCGGAACGTTTAATTGCGCGTAGAGAGTCGTCCTGCAGCTCTTACACTTAGAGCCTTCAATGTAACCACTTACCACCGCTACGCGTCCGATGGCCGGGTAGACGACGTCCACACGTACTCTGGAACCCTGTAAGCAAATGAATGGAGGCCTAACGTCGACATCACTAGCGATTATTCCAAACACCATGATGTTGACCAGATATTTGGTTTTCATCACTCTCGTTAAATCATTTGAAAACACTGAATCCTCTGAACTATCCTCAGATTGACACCCAAAGACTCTGAAATGTTCCGGCCCGAATACCAAGCAATACTGCATACCGTTTCCAAATATCTGGAGGCATGAATTGCGTCATGGTGCTCTTTCTATCACAGACGGTGTCCAAATATGCTGTGCAGTCGACAAAATAAAAAAAAAACAAGACAATGAGCATTCGCAAAATGAAAAATAATATAAAATGGTGACAATTTACCCACCGTTTCCTGTATATATATATATATATATATATATATATATGTGTGTGTGTGTGTGTGTTAGATTAAGCTTTGACCCGTTGTATCTTAGAAATGATTAAAGATATCTTACGGGAATTCGCCGAAGTTTGTTTTTATAACACCATTGTACTCTACTTTGAGCAATAAGAATATATAATTACTTGCCAATCTAAACAGAAGAATTGTGGTGAAATCGATCATAAACGAAAATGACATGTTCATCATTACTATAACAATAGCAAAGGATCGGAAGCTTATGAAGAATTGAAATTAAGTTTTATATATATATATATATATATATATATATATATATATATATATATATCCAGGATCATTTTCAAACTTATTTTCAAACTGATGACCTTCGTCCTCTCTATCCTTCTAACTTTATGTCCAGGAGTAACAATCTGCCTCACAGGTTTCACATACGATTTCATTTTCACTAGTCATTGGACTGTCATAACTGAAACTCCTCTCTCACGTGCCAAACGTCCTATAGATTGAGTTGGATCTTTTCTAATTGATTTCTTTGGCTCTAAGTTGAAATGATGATCCTCTTACTGTTGCGAGCTCCTAATCCAGGTTTCCTCTTTATTGTTTCCTCTTTTTTAAACTTATTCACCGTTCTCTTGAATGAT